GTATTATGCGAGTTTGACGATGCGCCAAGATTCGACTTCAATGGATGGAACAATGTAATTGATACACTATGAACTTGAACTTTCTCTGAGGATTCAGCAACGGATTAAATAACAGGCAAGTAGTAATACCAAATAAAAAACGATAAGGTAGAGAATCTACAATATTGCGCGCGCCTTGAAATTATTCAGTAACGAACGAGATTATTCAGTTCAAACATTTCCATAGATTTAGATTCGATCTATTTATTAAAATTAAAGAACAATTCGAATGAATAATTTGAGTGATAATCTACATCTCCGTTTGATTTCTTTGGATTAAATTCAAATCCAATTTGACGATTAAGAATAACCAAAAATAAGCAGAATCTCTCTTCTTCTATCTCGAGTGTTGATTAATTCAGACAGTTCTAATAGTTTGAATTCGTCGAATCTTTGGAACTCAATATCAAAGATCAAACAATAGGTATGAGTGAAGAGACTGTTACTCCGAATAGGTGGACTATCTCGAGCAAGATCCTAATGGTATCCCCGGATATAACAAGAGGATTCACCGGCGTTAATCACTCTCATTCTCGTCGAACACTGTAACACGCGGATAACCGCGAACAGCAGGCGTCACGGAAGCAGGAAGAAAGCAATCGAGTCATCCGTAATGGAAGAGCCAGAGTACGTACATACAAACCCGGCGGTAGCGGAAATTCGTGCGGATATAACTGCGTCTACGTACCGTGCACGGGACAGAGGTGGAGCGGCGTCTGTGCCTCGGCGGCGTCGCGACGTCGATTATATGCTCTCGTCTGGACGCCCCCGCATTTTCGTGGGATGGTGCCTGGCCGACAGGCACGAAAAAGGCTCGCCTCGCGGGGCGTCGCGACGCTCGCCGAACTAGGCGGCCGCAGCCCCTAAGCGGAGACGAACATGCTTACCGCTTTGGAAATACTCCGGCAGGCATTCCTGCTTGGAGCCGGGGTCGCATCGGCGCGCATTAGCGTTAACCGGAGTCAACGAATTTTCTCCATCTTCATAAGCGAGCCATTGCAGTGGATAGCGGTTAAAATTGACCGAGGTTCGAGCGATCCCCTCTGTCTCTGGCCCGTGTCTAAAAGCAGATAAAGAGGAATCGGTCAAAGTGTAGCTAAGTTTGATTTATATTGATGGGAATAACACTTGTAGAGAGAAAGCAGATCAGTTAACGTCGATAACACGATCTCATTAAATCTTTATGCGCTAAATATATTCTGCTTCTTTGACATTTTTATAATTTTGCAACGAAAATAAGGCGCATTTTTTAAGTAATGTTCGTGTGCCTAATTTGATCGGGAATATTTTCTTTTGCCACGAGAAGTACGGAACGTTGTCCAAAGTATGATATATGTACGTAGTTTTCTTTTTACTTGTTTCCCTTTCCTAAAATATGATTTTGATATAGATCACTGCGTAATCTTCTTGACGAATTTTACCCAGACTTTTCTCGGTTACAATTATACATGCTTCTCATAAATTCACCGTGAAATTGCATTCGTAGATTCTACGTGAAGCATAGATCTCTAGGAACCGACATGTCGATTATGCATCAATTAGCACAAGATGGAAGATATCGAGAAAATTTCGACAGCGGAATACTCAGGGAGATTGTCGAATTTAACTTTCTAACGCCTGCAAGAATCATACTCTGACGGATATCAAGGCGTCAAAAGTATTTTGAGATTACGCGATGTGACCGAAATAAACTGTAGCTTCTTCGCGAGAGCTTTTATCGCGGGGATTCTCGTCCCTGAATATCAATGGAGCATGCAAATTCAGCTGGGAAAAGTTTTAAGAGATAATAATTCGCGATAGTCGGAAGCGAAGTTTGCACATTCTTTTAACTTCAACAAAGTAATAAAGGATGAAGATACAAGTGAACGAAACGGCATAGAAACAATAAATAAGTAATTCCCGTCGACAGATTTTTGGCGGGACACAACGAAAAATCATAATATAAATTAGATAGTAGAGAATTAGTAGAAAATTAGATTAGAATATAGAGAGAGGGCGGGTAATATTAGGCCAAGGTCGCTATATAATCGCAAGCACGTAACGATAAGGACTATTTTGAAATTATATCGGCTGCTATTTTGCCGCGATCGAAGACAAATTTGGATGTGTGAACGCTGGAGAGCGACGCTAGGAGATTAACATAATCGCGAAACGCCAGAATTCCCAGCTACAAGTTCATTTATTACAGTCAAATAACATATGAAGCAGCTTATGAAATGTATAAGCTAGTTTCTTCTCTCTCCGTATCTATTTTGATGAAAGTGTCAAAGATTGAGAAATGAGAAAAGGGTTATCTACATCTTCAGCACCTCCAGTAAATCTAGAGGAATTAATTTTTCTTTTATTTCTAACACATAAATATTCATGAATGTTCATGTAAAACTGGCACTTCTAATTTGACCTTGTTGAAAAATTGTTACATATAGTGGTGTATTTCCCAGATAAAGAAAAGTTGCTGGAAAACGAAGATCCCAAGAGCTGTTGAACGAGAATCTTAACAGCGCTACGCTACGGAAGGATGTCAAGCGAAAATAAACCAGATACTTCTTTATGTATACGACACAGAGTTCACGTGAGGTAATGTAAAGAATGCATAATCATACAGTAGTGGTGTGAGATAATGTGTATTTGACTTGACTTTGACATCGTATAACAATATAGAGTATAACGTAGTGTATATAATATTTACAAAATAAATTAAAGAGAGAGAGAGTATAGAAGTACATCGGTAACGTTTGCTTTGGTTAGCAGACTAGAAATAATTATGTACGTATTGCGAGACGATATCTCTCGGACGGTGGTAAAGGACGCTCGCGCGACAGTAAATAGAGCTCGATCTTCCCGAAGTAGTCTCGATGCCGTTGCCAAGCACAGCCTCGAAGGTCCTCGCGTATCCTTACATCTGTTCATAATGTTTCTTTCGCAAGTCGAAAGATACATTTGTATCGTCTCTCCGCATGTACGGGGATTCTTTTCGATGCTCAACAATGTCCAGGCTACCACGGATGAGATCCTGTGACGAGAGCCAAACCGCCGACCGCTACCTCGGCCATGATGATGACGCCAAGTGAGCAATGATGTCGCGCGCAACTTTACGGAATGTTGCGGCGACAGAAAATGATCAACCAGGCTGTCGTTGTTTACGCAACGACGAGCAAGGCTGCGACGATGACATTTCGGTGAGATCCAATGATGACTGAGAGTCATGATGATGTTGTTCTGATGATGTTTTCTTGTAGCAGCTTGATTGCACGAGGACGAACGGCGCGGTGTTATTCACACGTTCTCCTCGAGGGACGATGTTCTTTCGAAGATTGCGCCACGTCGATGGTGATCGTATAACGACGCGCTTAGAAGCATTTGCGGTGGACGATGCCGGGGCCGGACTCGTCGTACTCTTGCTTGGAGATCCACATCTGTTGGAAGGTAGACAGAGAAGCCAAGATGGAACCACCGATCCATACGGAGTACTTCCTCTCGGGAGGAGCGATGATCTTAATCTTGATAGTCGAGGGTGCGAGGGCGGTGATTTCCTTCTGCATACGATCGGCGATACCAGGGTACATGGTGGTGCCACCAGAGAGGACGTTGTTGGCGTAGAGATCCTTACGGATGTCGACGTCGCACTTCATGATCGAGTTGTAGACGGTCTCGTGGATACCGCAAGATTCCATACCCAAGAAGGAAGGCTGGAAGAGAGCCTCAGGTGTGCGGAACCTCTCGTTACCGATGGTGATGACCTGACCATCAGGCAACTCGTAGCTCTTCTCGAGAGAGGTGCTGGCAGCGGCGGTAGCCATTTCCTGTTCGAAGTCCAGGGCGACATAGCAAAGTTTCTCCTTGATATCGCGGACGATTTCTCGCTCAGCCGTGGTGGTGAAGCTGTAGCCTCTCTCGGTGAGGATCTTCATGAGGTAGTCGGTAAGATCGCGACCGGCCAAGTCCAAACGGAGGATAGCATGGGGAAGAGCGTAACCTTCATAGATGGGTACGGTGTGGGATACACCATCGCCGGAGTCCAAGACGATACCGGTGGTACGACCGGAAGCGTACAGAGAGAGTACGGCCTGGATGGCGACGTACATGGCCGGGCTGTTGAAGGTTTCGAACATGATCTGTGTCATCTTTTCACGGTTAGCTTTGGGGTTCAGTGGTGCCTCGGTGAGAAGGACCGGGTGTTCTTCGGGAGCCACACGCAATTCATTGTAGAAGGTGTGGTGCCAAATCTTCTCCATATCATCCCAGTTGGTGATGATACCGTGCTCGATCGGGTATTTCAGAGTCAGGATACCTCTTTTGCTCTGGGCTTCGTCACCTACGTAGCTGTCCTTTTGACCCATACCGACCATCACACCCTGATGACGAGGTCGACCGACGATCGAAGGGAAGACAGCGCGAGGAGCGTCGTCTCCGGCGAAACCGGCTTTGCACATGCCGGAGCCATTGTCTACGACGAGGGCGGCTACTTCGTCGTCACACATCTTGCTGCTGCTTTAGTTTCTCTGTAGGAAAAATTCGATCATTTAGAATAGATTCTCCCATATTACAGAAGTTGTTCGGAAATCGTAATATGTCAATTTGTAATCGTAGAGAAATTGGTAGCTTTTCGTCTTATATGTGCAACTGTTTTTACATAATCCAAGCTATTTTCGTTTGAAGATATCCACGAGAGATGTTATGAGCACACATGCTAATTATAATCCGCTCGTAGTCTGGCGCATAATACTCAAGTTGATTATATTTCAAATTTTGTATCTTACTTTAATTATTATATCTTAATATTTGAAGAAATGTTAAGAATTCTCAAGTAGCTACAAGTCGAACTTACTGCAAGATAATCAAAGCACCGACTGAAGAACAACATATATGTAATTTGTCAAACCTGTATGATTGAAAGACAGTTTTTGTCTGTATTATATTAAGAGAACAGTTCACATTGACCAAGGATATAAACTTTTATACTTCGCCATTATAAATTGTTTAGTTAGTGTGTGTGAAACATAGAAAATTCAAACAACGATCTTCGCAAACTAGCGAAATATGCACAACGTTGTTCCAATCGGCGCTTTGATTCACTCCGAAATTAATCCACGCTCTTCCTCATCGAACTTGTCAAGATTGACCCCACGATTGACTTCACCCTTCCGAATGAACTCTCCAATTTGCTCACAAACGCGTCTCCACTCGTTCTTTCTTTCTCGAAATCCCCGAGATTCTCGTCTTTTACCTCTACAAAACGCGAACTCCGATCCGTTCGAATTCGTTCGTGGCACAACTACTAACCGTGGCGAATCGACTACTAACCGTGGGGGTGGGTTGTGAATTGACGGGCGGCTGAGGAGCGGCTGAGGCTCGGGAGCGTCGCGACGCCAGATATAACGTCCGCACGGTGTGCGACGCTACCGAAGATGGGCACGCGGGACGCTTCCAGGGCTGACCAGCGTCTCTGCCCACGCTGCTGCTGGGCGCGCGGGTGGGACATGCACCCAGGAAATTGAATCGGCCCGGTCGAACGGTTCCACGACGGCTCGCCAGAACGCCTTTGGACGACCCTGCTTGTCCGAGAACGGCGACGCGCGCCGTTCTCGCGTCGCTACTTCGCTCCTCGTCATCGTCATGATCGTTCTTCTCCTTCTCCTTTCTTTTCCTCTTCGTCTTCATCTTCTTCGTCCTCTTCCTCTTCTTCTTCTTGTTCGCGCGCTCTTGGAAATCCCCGTGGACGCCAGCACCTCCTAATCTGGACATTAACGCGGGTTGCCGACCGTTTCTGCAGCTATCTGCTTTTCATCTTCCATGCGCTGAGGTCGGCGCAGGAAGCGGCTAAACAGTTCGTTTGCCGAATCTTGGAAATCCTTCTTGGAGGATTTCATACGAAGGCGTCTTACAGTTTTCTGAAACTCTAAGGAGTCGTTTTTGCATGGAAGATTCGAGTTTAACGGGAGAGTCTTGCAGACAGATATTTAAGTATCATGTGAATATTTTAATAGCTCATCAAATAAGTTCGATATTTAAGGAAGGAAATATATTACGCTATTAAAAGATTCATCAGAATTTATTGTATATGCGATCTAACAATCGCGGAGTACCGCGTACGTTATTTTCATCATGTGGCTCATAGTTTTCTTTTTCTTTAGCTCGCGTGGCTCCTTCGTGGTCATTCTCGTTGTCGACGCTTTTGGCATACGCCGGAGGAGTCTCGACGTCTCGGCGCTACTGAAAATATCTGCTCATGGCCAAATCAGGGTATTAACGTGAGACGATGTACTCTTGTACAAGCAAGGAGTACTTGTATACTGGGAGCGTCCACTACGATAGGAAGTAGAAGGAAAGAAGGAAGCGACGCTTATCGCAAGGTGAACGAATTTTCCTTGATCTTCGTCGCATTCCTTTCCCATGATTGATAAAGCTCCCCCAAGCTATTGTGACTTTTAACCACCTACGTGACCGTGACTGTGCTCTCAGATATTTGGACAAATTGCCAATTGGCATTTAATTTATTCGTTGTGCACCACGACACGCGTAATAATCCACTCCCGTTTCGGCAAGAAAAAGCGTAACGGGAGAATGGAGCTAAGAATAAATTGACTGCTGATTTAATCACCCTTATTCGCTGTAATTCACTTGATATGCAAGAGGCGTTAAAATTTGCGAGTGAAGTGTGACACAAATTTGAGCGGAAAAACAGCTTATTTGGAGATGAGGGTAAAGATAAGAGGAGCTTTATCTTTACTATTTTCCGCCTTATCAATAATAGTGTCGATAGAATCATAGATTAAAAGAGGAATTCTTTAGATAAAATCAGAAAATCAAATACAGATGTTTTAATGCGATAAAAAACTAATAATAATATTAATAATTCGCGATTAGTGTATGGCGACATTTAATCATTTTATAATCAATAAATAAACTTTTTCTTCCACATCGTACGGTCACTAATATTATTATTAGTTTCTTATCACACTAAAACATCTGTATTTGAACTCTTATATTGCCTTATTTTAATTTCTGAGAATCCTAGATATCTAATCTATTTTTAATCGATGATGATGTCAAAAGAATCATAAATATCCAATATAATTTTCCGACTAATCATTCGAGATAATCGATATTACATTAATTCCTGATTTTATTATTTATTTACTTTTTTCTAATTGTGTGTTTACAGGCACTTGAAAACTACGACTCTACTAAGAAATCTAATCCTAGATTTCTTTATTTCTCTTTTGTATCTGGACGATTAAGTTGCCTAATATATTATCAGTAGATTAGTAGATTAGTGAACCTTTAAAGAAAATCACGGCTATGTAACACGGTCCTTATATATTCTATAGTTTGAACCCTTGTGAAATCTGGACAGCCTTGCGAAATGTTCTTTGATGCGAGACGAATGCACGAGTGCATTTGTCTCGACGCAGAAAAGTATAAAAACATCGGGAACGCGGCAATGAGATATGAATCACGTGTTACCCTATAACATATCGTAATGTTATACAATTCCTCTATAGTTTTTATAATATAAAAGATTGCGTGTATCCAATGTATATTTAAAAAATTTGAAAAGCACAATTGAGAAACTACTGTTTACGTACTACATATACAGCTCAAGTAGAAATTGATAAGAATAAGGGTTTTGTAAATAATCGATTATATTTATGAATACTCTTGATATATATATTTTTTTTTTTGCAGTAGAAGAGGCGCATTGTGCGATGCGCTTTATGCATTTCGGTTACGTATATTTCTACGATAATTAAACATAGTACTTACGTACTTACATACAGATGGTACTCTTGATATACGGTACGGTTGTTCTGAGAATTGCTTGGTAGCACTTCGTCAGTCATTAGTATGACAAACGGAGCCGTGACTACGCATGAGTTTAATTTGCATCAATTATATGTGAAACGGAAACTTCCGCGATTTACGTAACTGTCCTATTTCTAGACAATTTTCATAATTAGTATTTTATTGGCCGAGTCGACTAATGAAATCATTATTCGCGGCGTCTTTTTTCGGTGTCTCGCATTTTGCGAAGGCGGACAAAAATATTTCGCGATTTTATCTGCGCTTCGCGCCCGAGAACCAAGAGAATACATTTACGCTGCCAATCTGGAAATATTTAAGCCGCGCGATCTGACGTTAATTTATTTTTACGACATTCTTATAAGTTCTCCCGATAGCATCGTTATTGTTGTGAATGCTCCTTTGCTGCTTGGTGAAGAGAATCTGATATCTAAAGTAATTTTTTTCCTTTCTTTTTTCTCTTAATAGAGAATATATTGATGAGCGTTGACGTAGCACATTCCACCATAAAGTGTTTTAAGTTGGTACAAAAAAGGTACGATTGTATCTTTCCGTTCGTACATATCCCTGAGAGATTCTCGTATATATCCCTGGAACGTCTTTTGAACTTAACGACCGCCTCTAAAATTTCGCACAATGAGCAATCTTCTTTTCTTTATTCCGCAGTTATAACAGAAGCCCTTGGATCGGTATCGAGTTCAGCAGGTGTCCTCGACGAAGAAGTACCGCCAGCTAAGTGAAAAGAAACGGAGGACATTGCGCGCAAGGCAAGGTCACTAGCTCTCACGAGTCCAGAATGTGAAACCGGCCTGACAGAGAATGAGATAGAAGATACGTGCATATCGCAAATTTTATTAATGCCGGACCATCGGTTCGTTAGTTTTGGCTCACAAAGACATACAATGCGAGGAGTAGCAGAGAGACCTTGCGAAAAGTCCTGTCACAGTATGTTTTTCCCAAGGCTCTGCGACTTTTCGTCGCTGGACACCTTGCTGAATTTCGTTATCGAACGCGAATCGAAACTTACCGATCCAAAATTCATGTCTCAAAGAGATCGACAGTGATTTAATGCTGAAGAATCTTACGCGTTAGTATTATCCTTATTTTTATAAAATATATTTCTTTATTTATAAATATACATTGTTAGAAAAATCCGTATTAAATTTAATAACTGAGATGTGAAGTTTTTTTACATAACCATGTTATAAAAAGTAATAGTAAAATCAGTATTATATTTAATAATCTATAGTTATGAAAAATCATAGTCAGATTTTATTTTTCATAATGTTTTTATAATAATTTAGAAATGCTATTATAAAAAATAGACTTCTGGATAGCTCCGTTGAAATCTCGATAAAGGCCACGATGCTTTGCAAACTGAATCTTTCAAGCTACGTTACCGAAACAATCGTATTTATAATATATTAGAAAAATTATTCTAACATATCATAACGTGTTATAATATTTTATAATTTAATGTGGAATTTAATAAGAAAAATATAAGATGGAAATGGAATATAAGATTGAAAATATTAGATTTCATAAGAAATATGAAAATTATAACTAATTTATAACTAATAATCCTAATGTTATGAAAATCTTCACTATTATTAATTTTAATATCAAATTCTTAAATTTACTTACAAAAATGCTATTATTTTTAAGAACTTTTCTAACAGTATATATATCCAGATAGCACAAGATCTCCTCAGGACGTCCTAAGGACTTCCTTAGGATGTACACTGGATGTCCTCTAGATATCTGTGCTGTTAATGAAATCTTTTTCCATAGAGGAAGCAATAAATGTCTTAAAAAAAATCGAATTTGCTAAAAAATAAGTTACATTTGATAATATCGTGATGAAATATTATTACGTTATGTATATTATAATTGATATTTTGTTACAATAAATAATTTTCCCAATAAAACGTAATTTCCCAAGTAAACGCGCTATATATTGTAATTGTAATTGAAGTAATATAATAAAAGAACCAATTAATGTGAAATAGTGGGAATGATGACACGTTAGCAAAAATTCTCCAGCTTTTTCTATTCACTAAATAAAATATTTAGCTTAACAGTACCATAAAAAGTATTAATAACTTTAAATTTATTATTTTTTTGGTACACTGAAAAAAAAGATTTGCTAAATATATGGACAACTAAAAATATTAACTAATATATTTGTATATGTGTGTGTGTGTATGTGTGTGTGTGTGTATACACTAATATATATATTAGCTAATCGTTTAGTTATCACAATTAAATAACTTTGCTATGAAAGCAAGAAAATTTGCTCCTGCAGAGAGAGAGCTAATATTTTTAGTTGTCCATATATTAGCAAATCTTTTTTTTCTTGTACATAAATTAACAGATTCGGTATTCTCGATATATGATATGTTATGTTCATTCCATCAGGCTTCCCTTCCATGTGTAAACAATCGAGACGCTGAAGAGCACGAAGGTTGGTAAAGGTTGGGACGCGATCGTCGAGATGTAAATTCGTAGCGATACGACAGGACAAACCGAGGACCGCTAGCAGGATCGCCAATGGAATTTATGAGATTCGTGGTATCGTGGTGAAATGTTTGCGAGGTGGGGAGATTGCATAAAAGTTAACGTATCACGCTCGCGGAGGTTAGTCAACGGCTGGAAGGCGGTTGTCGTTACAAGTCGCAGTGGTGGAAAGGACGAGGAGAACCTGTGAAAGTATCTCCATTAAAACGGAATTATCTCGCATTACGCGGAGCGTAGGAGAGACCATGCGAGTCGACATGCTGCGCCTGTAAGCATTTTATTATAATAAAATTAACACACGTAATGTGTGTTATCACTTTTTGAATAAATGATAACACGACGATACGGCGATTGATAACCCCGTGGGAATCGTGACGCAGAGAAAGCAAGAAGTGTATAAGTATGAGCGTATGTTGCATGTAATATTACGTATGAATGATAAGTCACGTATCTCCCATTAAACAGCAACGTGACATTAATATTATAATTTCTTACTCAATAATGTAACTGTTACATACAACATATGTTATATCGCACTTACATTGATTATTCAGTAGAGAACTATAACATTGATGATTAATTTTAAGATTAATCTTAGAATCTTGTTTTAAGATTAATGCTGCAATTTTAAGCAAATATACGAGTAAATCGTAAAATCGTAAAGTCGTAGCTTACGAATCAATCGTAAAATTCACAAACCGTAACTTTATTAACAACTTCTAGTTAGTCGTAAGATTTACGAGAAATCGCAGATATTTACAAGTTATCGTATGACATTTGGTCCGCATAGAATTGCAGATCTACTCATAGGTTCTTACGAGTTTCACGAGAACAAGTTACAAGTTTTACGATTTTGCCTAGAATTGCAGTATAAGATTAATCTAGCTATTGCTCCATTTATTGTTACTCAGTGTTTACTGAGTTACAACACACGACTGATTTTATAAGTAGTAATTTATGTGAACTATTTAGGTCGTAAGAAAAACATTTAATGTTGTGATTAAAGTTCCAACTTTGGAATAAATCATGATATATCGTAACGATTAATCGTTTTGAACGTTAATTTCACGAAAGCGAGGGCGATTATTTATGCCATTGTATATACGTGCGCAGAAGTTTCTCAGCTGGCATTTACGTCGGATATCTCCGGATGCACGGTGATGAACACGATCTAACGAGTTAATGCACCGGACAAGTGCACTTCGCGCCGCGACAAGACGAGACTTTCAAATTACGTTATTGCTCGATCTCACGACGTCATTTAATATCGTATGTTTGTATACTAAGCTATGTCACAACTGAAGGTCGGGGAATTCTGTTTCTTCGGAAACACTCCTTTCTTATAATTCGTTTCTGAATATTCTTCACTCAATTGTAATATTCAGTATTCACGAAAGTTTTTGCTCTGTATAAAACAAGAATTATTAAGCAAGAAAATAAAATTGTATGTTAATAGAATTAATTATGATTCACCAATATTTATACATATGTACTAATATTTATATATATGTACTAAATGAAAGTTAAATAAACAAATTAAAAGATGATTAAAAGATAGAGTAAGATAAAGCATATATGGATATAGAAAACTGCGCGGAGATATAGTACTATGCAAGATAAAACTAAACTTATTAATGTACATTTACAGAATTTCGGTAGCAGCTTTAATCATAGCTTTGGTAGTAGCCGAATCAACGAATAATGATGCCACCACTACTGAAAATCCACAATCCGTCGATGATATTTTAAAAGTCCGCCGTTTCTTAAAAAAAGCCGATGCGGAGCTAGAAGAATGGTATAACGAACAAAGCATTGTAGGATGGAATTACGCCTCAAACTTAACAGAGGAGAATCTGGCCACGAAACTGAACGTGTCTGTGGCAATGACAAATGTCCTGAAAAATATTTCTAAGGAATCTCTTGAATTCCTGTCGATAGATATAGAGGAAGAGGACATCAAGAGGCAGATTCAGAAGCTCGCTACACTTGGTGCTCCAATGCTCTCTGAAGAGGTAAAGATAAATAGTCGTTAACTTAGGATACCATATAAAAAGGATATTACGCGGAATTGCAGATGCAGAAGGAGTTCGAGGCGACGATCAGTCAGATGGAAAACATCTATAGCACTGCGAAGATCTGCGACTATGAGAATAGGACCAAGTGTGATCTCGCGCTCGAGCCGGAGATCACTGAAATCTTGATGTATAGTCGCAATCCTGAGGAGCTGAAACATATCTGGGTGGAATGGAGGAAAGTATCCGGCGAGAAAGTTAAGTCTTTATACTCCAGGTACGTCGAACTGGCCAATGACATGGCGAAGCTCTATAACTTCTCCGACTATGCCGCGTACTGGATGAAAGACTACGAGACCGATAATTTCCCCGAGCAAATCGGTAAGAACGCGATATCCGCGACGGGTGAACGAGGTAACGGATAAAACGATATTTCGATATCTCCTTAGAGACTCTTTGGCAACAGCTGAAGCCGCTGTATCTGCAACTGCACGCTTACGTGCGACGTGAGCTCAGGAAGAAGTACGGTGAGGACATCGTCTCTAAGGACGGCCCAATTCCGGCGCATCTTTTAGGCAATATGTGGGCTCAGTCTTGGGCGAATATCGCGGACTTTACCATACCTTTTCCGGGCAAGCAGTTGCCGGATGTTAGCAACGCTCTGGTCGAACAAGGTAGGTTTACGATTTTCGAAACTCTTTCGTTCTTTCTTTCTTTTAGGAAGTGGCAAAATAGTTAAATGGCAAAATAGACTGCAACCAGCGGGAAGCACTTAAAATAGTTGTATTTTTGTGTGTAATTTCTTCTTGTATTAGTCGTGACTCATAATTTCATGAAGGTTACAACACGACGAGCATCTTCCGTCTCGCCGAGAGCTTCTTCACGTCAATCAACTTGACCGCCATGCCGGATTTATTTTGGGAGAAGTCGATTCTAACAAAACAAGAGGATGTGGATATGATCTGTCACGCGAGCGCATGGGACTTTTATGATGGCAAGGACTTTAGGATCAAGCAATGCACGCGCATCAACATGGAAGATCTGCTTACGGCGCACCACGAAATGGGCCACATTGAGTATTATCTGCAATACAAGGACCAGCCGACTATCTTCAAGCAGGGTGCAAATCCTGGTTTCCATGAAGCGGTCGGAGATGTCATCGCTCTTAGCGCGTCGAATCCTAGCCATCTTAAGAAAATCGGTTTACTGCAAGATGACTCGACTGATCCAGAAGCAGTGCTGAATAATCTGTACGTAAAAAGTCTCGAGAAGATCGCTTTCCTACCGTTCGCTTATATGTTGGATCGATGGCGATGGAACGTATTTCAAGGAAAGGTCACGCCTGACAACTACAATTGTGACTGGTTAGTATCTAATAACTACTTACATCATACAAGTAATTATTTCACTTTAAAAAAAAAAAGGACAACTTAGTTCAGCTAAAAAAGTAGACCTCTTGTTTTACCGTGAATGATATTGTTTTCGAATGAGAATTGAATACATTAGCTTTTCCATGATTATAAATGAAACTATTAACGCATTAATTACTACATCACCGATATTTAGGTAACGCGTGACTTTCCACAAGGTCCTGTCAATTGTTTGTGGATGATTGTTTTATTTACCTAATTAAAAATTATTTTATTAAGGCTCCTGGCCTTTCGCATTGTCTTTCTCTTTTTAATGACGTCAGAAGCGACAAAATACATGTTAAAAATTCTTGCAAAATACGTTAAAATAAAAATATATATCTATAAAGTAACACTCGCAATCGATTAAACAAATTTATAAAATATTCCCTTTTGCTCTAATCAATAATTTCTTGTAAATTATGTATGTCAATGTTAATTTACGACAAATTATTGATTGTTGTAACGCAAAAGGGGAGTGTACGGAATATCTTAAAAATTTGTTTAATCGATTGCAAGTGTTACTTTATGAATATATTTTTATTTTAGCGTATTTTGCAAGAGTATACATTTTCTCGTTTCTGACATCATTAAAAAGAAATAGATAATACGAGGGACCAAGAGTCTTAAGTATTTAGAACAATATCGAATAAAAAGTAACAAAATCTTATTAACACTGAAAATTAGAGCTTGATGGGCACTAGTGGATGAATTCAGCGTGACACTCAATATATTAAGCAATTTACAAGTTCATAATTGTTTACTTTAAGGTGGTCTCTCGCAGAGGAGTATCAAGGCATAGAACCACCGGTGGACAGATCCGAAGAAGATTTCGATCCCGGCTCAAAGTACCATGTGGTCGCCGATGTTGAATATATCAGATATTACGTGAGCTTCGTGATACAATTCCAATTCCACAAGGCGCTGTGTACCGAGGCGAAGCAGTACGATCCGAAGAATCCAGAAGCTAAGCCGTTACATCAGTGTGATATTTATGAAAATAAGGATGCGGGAAATCTTCTGAAGTAAGTCTTAACTCACCGTGCTACTGCGGGAACACGATTTTGGATAGAATGGAAATAATAGATATATTTATGTTAGGTCTATGTTGGAACTGGGCTTTTCGAAACCATGGCCAGACGCGATGGAAAAGATTACGAAGCAGAGACAAATGGATTCGGCCGGACTGCTAGAATATTTCAAGCCGTTGATCGATTGGCTAACCGAAGAAAATAAGAAAACTAACGAATATATCGGATGGACGCCCAGTAATAAAAGTATGCATTGTAATTATATTTAAAGAGAAACTTATTGTATCACAAATCTTTATATATATATTAATATTTTTTCTATATTTTTTATATATTATAAATACAAGAAATCATTAACCGTATATAGTAATGTGGAGACAAGCCAATAATTCTTTTTGTTTTAGAATGCGTACAAACTAGAGGAGAGCTTCGAGTTATCGAAGAACCTACGGAATAACATTCCCCGCAGGGTAAAATAATTTCTGTTTTCTTCGATTGGAAGATAATTGTGTATCGATATGTAAAATAAATCTGATAGATAACATACAAATGATCCTTTTTCTGTACTTTTAGGATCATACAAATATCGCTCAGGTATAAATTATGACACGCACAAATGTGTTAATGAGGCGTTAAATATGTTTTACCTTTTCTAAATAAAATTACATTCCATTTTACGATACTGTTTCACTTTGCTTTACCCCCTTTGTCCCCTTCCATGCTTTTTAGCTGGTTTGCCAGTTATTTTCTTAGTTGTAACAGTTTTGCTGGTAGAAGCAGTAGCTTTTTTTATCTAAAATACGAAGCGAAGCAATATAATCCGAAGAATCCAGAAGCTAAACTGTTGCATCTGTGTGATATTTATGAAAATAAGGAGGCGAGAAAGCTTCTGAAGTAAGTTTTAACTCAACGCGCTACTGCAGGATTTTGGGTAGAATGGAAATAATTGATATATTTATATTAAGTCTATGTTGTGAAATTGAGCTTCTCGAAACCATGGCCAGACGCGATGGAAAAGATTACAAAGCAGAAACAAATAGACCCGGCCAGACCGCTAGAATATTTCAAACAGTTGATCCATTGGCTAACTGAAGAAAATAAGAAAACCAACGAATATATTAGATGGGCATTCGGTAATAAAAGTATGCATTGTAATTATATTTAAAAAAACTTATTGTGACATATCTTTAATATTTTTTCTTTATTTTTTATATATTATAAATACAAAAAATTATTAAACGTATACAGTAATGTGGAGACAAATCAATAATTTTTTAAATTTCAGAATGCGTATAAATTAGAGGAGAGCTCCGAGTTATCGAAGAATCTTTGGAATAACATTCCATGCAGAATAAAATATTTTCTATTTTCAATTAATTGGAAGATAATTACGTATCGCGATATGCAAAATAAATTTAAAAGATGATCTACAAATGACCCTCTTTCTGTATTTTTACGATCATACATATACCGCTCAAGTGTAAATCATGACATGTACAAATGTAAATGAATGTTAAATATGTCTTAGCTTTTCTACATTCCATTCTACGATACTATATTTGCATCACTTTGCGATATTTTACTTTGCTTTACCGCGTCCCCTTCCACGCTTTTTAGCTGGTTCGCCAGTTGTTTTCTTAGTTGTAACAGTTTTGCTGGTAGAGGCAGTAGGTTTTTTTACCTAAAATCAATTTTTCTTAAATCTTCTTCGTGAAAAGTATATGCTCTTTTTTACAATTCTACAGTAACTCTCAGTGTTACCTTGACCATTTTATGATTATCGATGTTGTCTTCCTCCTCTTCAGACTCTTCCTCTTCCACCAAATTGTCATCTTGCGAGGGTCTTTTCTTTGCTGTACTACTACTGTTAATTGCATATGGCAACATAGGAGGATTCTTCTGATATGCTCTCGTAAATGCTGCTTTTACCTAAAATATTAACAATTAGATTTTCTAGATTCATGATGGAAACCTAATTGAAAATATTGAAAAAAATTGTCATATGCATACTTTACTGTCAAGGTTACTCGTGAAGTCACGAAGGCCTGGCCAGAGAGAAATTTCCATCATTGAATCCAAGTCTTCCCTGAGACAAAATCAAATATTAAAGGATGAATATGTGTACTTAACACTTTCATTATTTAACCGATTTCAAAATATCAACTATAGACAGGTTAAAATATTTATTGTACATAAAAAATACGAACCTCATTAGATGATACTTTCCCATGACGGCAATGGCTGTGTCTATACCATCGGTGCCGTTATCTATCAGAGGTTTTACAATCGCGTTTCGTATATGGACCATGTAATCTAAATTTAAGGCGTCTTTGTTTGCGCCCGTGGCTAACCGCGTATGCGTCGTTAACTCTTGCATCAATCTGCAAATAATATTTTCTTGAAAAAAGCAGTCAAAATTAACTACTACTAAATTTCAGCATACGGTAAATAAGAGTAAATGTGATATTAGTACAAATTAATGGTTGTAATTAGTCTCAAAAGTCTTGCCTATTAAATCTTGTAGCTTTCGAATTTCGCCCAAACCAGCTCGGGAATCGTACCATCGCGTCGAGACTTCCTGACATTTCGCTGCCTGGTATAACAAACGAGAAACAGGCATGCAACGGAAGCAGACTCCACATCATGCTACTTCTCATCACTTTTTCGATCAAATCTCCTTGAGATATACTGTCGGCCGTCCTAGCGATCCTCTCTAGCCTCTGAAGACTGTAAATATAACAAGATTCCTCCATCGATTCCTGCCTTTGCATACAGAAATAATATATACTTACGGTGATGCCTGAGACAATTTAACGGCGGGATAATTTTCTTGCACGAAAAGAGGTGCTATATTATAATCGTGGAAGTATAAGCCGATTTTATCATTCAAATTCATATCCCTCTGCTCGGCCGCATTGAATACCTTTTTCGCGACGTCGAATGGGCCGAGTTTAAAGTTCTTGTTAGAATGTTTCTTGTCAGTCGTTTCTACGTGAGCCGTTTTTCCGCTGAGAAACTCCAAGTGATTGATCACTTGCCGAATATCATAATTCGTTGACTCGATTAAACGATCAAGATCTTCCGTCGAGATTATGATATTCTCTTTAAAGCACAGGGACTTCATCGAACTCTACGGAGGAGCACGTTTAATTAACACATGATAATAAAAGAAAGCATTACTTGAGTTTATCAAATTTATAAACTGTACCCTGATTTGCTCCACTCTGAGCTTCTGAAATTTCAGATCGTAACTGTGACAGGAAAGAGTCCTCACTTTCGTGCTAAATCGGTCATTGCATATACATATAATAGGCACTTCAGTATATTTGATTAAACTGACCAATTCTTGCATGCCACCGCGATCTTCATTACCAGCCATGCCGTCAACTTCGTCCATTAACAACACATGCTTGCTTGTGATTTTTTGTTTGTTACCTGTAATATGTGCTGTGTAGTGGAATAATTATACGTGATTATTATATGTAATTATATATTCACCTGTAAAGTAATCTTTCATCGTAGTATTAGATAACAATCCTGCGACTTCTTCTTTCAAAAGCGTCTTGTTTCTTGTATCGGAAGCGTTAAACTCTAAAAGATCGTATCCTAACTCTTTACAAACAACTTGCGCAGTTGTTGTTTTACCAACGCCTGGGGGGCCAGATAGCAAGGCTGCTTTGAAACCTTGTCCATTAGTTTGCCTGCTATCTATTAAAATCAACACAAAATATATACAAATTAATTCTCGCATATAGGCATAAATATTAGTCAAGAAAGAGTTGTTAAAATAAAAGGCATAATGCCCACACAGATGGGCATTGAAAATGTACAAGCATATAATGAACATACTGGCATCTTTGAATTTTGGATCCTGGCGATTCTTATGCCAGTCGCGTAGCCAAACATATAAGTTGTTCGCACAACTTCTATCTCCTTGTTGACCTATGATCTGCTTTAAAGATTTAGGTCTGTACTTTTCAACTAACGGTTGTGAGCCGATACTTATAGTTACCTAAGTAAAATATAATAACAGCAAGAAATTAAATTTTATTATACATACATACATACATACGTATATATATATATATATATATATATATATATATATATATATATGTGTGTGTGTGTGTGTGTGTGTGTGTGTGTGTGCGTGCGTGCGTGTAGTTACTTATATATATAGTGAAAATAACGTTTGGTTTTTACCTCTTGTAAACTATTGCTTTCATCTGAAATCGGCTTCTGTACTGGTGATGATACTTTGGTTTTTACTGAAAGTTTAGTTTTCTCTGATGAAATTGGAGAAGCTTCTTTCTTAGGTGTAACTGATAGTGCTTTAGTTTTTTTCGGCGATAGTGATTTATCACTTTCAGATGTACTTGATATCTTTTTTGCGTTTGATTTTGCTTTTGTCGTAGTAGGCTTGATATCTTCAGATCTACCTTCTGGTCTTGTACGAATCATTTCCAGAAGATCGTCTTCGGTTATTTGTTTGATACCTAAACTAGAGGCCTAAAAAAAGAGATGTTAATATTAATCAAACTTATCTTATTTCATATAAGCAAACAAACATGCGAAACGTATATAAATGTGTAAAAACATACTTTTGCCAATTTAGATGGGCCAGGTTCATCTCCGACTATGACGTAATTCACTTTACCCGATATAGAATTTACTGAACGACCCCCGTAATTACGTATTAAATCTTCGGCTTCATTCCTTTCTAAAGAATCCAAGACACCTGTGATCAAGAAGCTTAAACCAGCTAAACAGTTCTTAGCACCCTAAAATAGAAATCTAATAATTAATAAAAAATATTTTCCTATTATCATAAAAAATATTGTGTTATCATAAAAAATAATTTTTAAGTTTTTCTTAGTATTATATTTATAACTGTAACAGAGTTAATGTAATATTGTATAATTAATTACATATAACTGCAATTATATATAAATATGTAAATTCTTACTGTAGGGATAGTCTTTGAACCAGGATTTCTGGCACCACCTCTTTGCAAATACTTCTCATATAATACAGCACGCTGTTTTTTCTTTTCTATCCTTTCTTCAAAGAGATCTGCTTCTTTAGCTTTTTTCTTATTTGGTGATTGTTTCTCAATAGTTTTGTCTTGTAAAGCAGAGGTAGATATTGGAGTATTTAGCATACTTGTGAAATTTAACTTTTTAGATGCAATATGTTTATTATTTGTATCCAAGTCCTCATTTAAACTAGAATTATCTTCCTTCTTATTTTGTAGTTTCTGTTTTGGAGAACTTGTGACAGTTTTCAAATGCATCCTTATGGGGAGATCATCCTTATGATCATACTTATGGGGAGATTTTATTTTCTTTGTTTTTACTTTGTTTGTCTTATTTGTTTTGTGAGACTTCTCCAAGGAACCTTTATGTTTTTTTTTTCTGCTCTCATTAGAATCTACCTCTGTAAATGTTTTATTCAGTCAAATTTTAGGTATAAAAATATTTATTTCAATATTTAATGTTTTACACACAAATATATACCTGTTTTGGTTATTGCTTCAGTATTGTCAGGAATATCTGCATCCTCGATATTACTTTTTTTTTTCTTTGTACCTTGTATATCCTGGGATGTATCCAATTGATTTAATACAGCATCAAAGTCATCATCATTATGAAACTCAGATTCCTAAAAATTCCAGTATCATTTGTAGAATGTTGATTACTTAAGCATCTTTTTTTGTATACAATATTTACCATTTTCAGTAATTTACTGTTCACTTTTGTTTCTTCTATTCTTATTATAGGTTTTTTGCCAAATAAGTCATTAGAAGACACAGCTTTAAGTGATTCTTTATTTCCATTTGTTTTAGATTGCTTAGGATCTTCTTTGTCAATGATCATATCATCCTCAGAATCTGACAAGATTGAAGTTTTCTTTGTCTTTTGTAGAATCTATATGCAAAACATTTAATTATATAATACTTTACATTATTGCAAATAACAACTGCAATTGTAGCAAATAAATTAATAAAAATATTATAAATTGAAAATTGAATGTTATAATACCTTGGAGCGTTTTGCAGATGATTTTGACTTTTCTTCATCCTCGTCTGATGAAATTACACGTCTTTTTTGAGGTTTTAGTTTGGAAGTAGATTCGTTGCTCTTTTTTTGGGAATTTGCGATCGGTGCGAAGTAAGATCTTATATCCTGTAAAAGGAGATATGTAATAATGTGTATGTATAGTTTAAACTTTATTCTTGTAAAATTGGAGAGCAATAAAAGTATAACCTACCTTAGCATTGTTCACTCCGTTTTTATTAGTTATCCGCGGCATTTTTAATGTTGCGCAATATTTAAACTGTGTTTGTGTAAATTTTGTTCAGTAAATTTTGCTTTGATAGACACAGCAATATTTTCGCGCGAAATTATTCACATATTACTAGTATTACTACACATGATACGTTTGACATTCAATCTGTTCGCTTTAGTTGCACTCTTTGCGCTTCTCAGAACACGTAATGGCTGCGTTCAGCACAGAAAGCTGCTTTGCACTATTGTAAAATTCGTGAATCTGATTGGTATATGCTCTTGAATTCAACCAAAATTAAGAGCATACTCCAATCAGATTCACGAATTTTACACAGTTGCAAAGCAGCTTTCTCTGCTGAACGCAGCCACTGGCACTTGACACAGAACGCGGAAACGCTTGCCGCACGGCAAGAAGCAACATGGTAGCCAATCAACGTACCGTTTTTTCGCAAGAGCCGCGCAAATTTATTAGTTACTGCGTTGCTTTTTATCATACGGCAGGCATTTCCGCGTCCTGTGTACAGGAACCATAAATCTATTTCTTTGTAAGGAATTTGCATGGACATAAGAATATATGGACGGAACGTAAAGTGCGATTAGACGAGAGGCTGTGAAGCCGAAGGGGTGAGAGGATTACATCATCGTGGCCATCATGGTGTCGGAGGTCTGTATCTATTATCTGTGTATAAAAACAGCGATCGTCGCCATAATGGTATGTCAATTCCATTAGAATACATACAATCATTCCCCTCACCCCTTGGGCTTTACCCTCGCGACAATATGCTCCGTCCATGGCTGCGCTCCGAAATTCACTGCCAGTACTGAAAATGTATAATTCATGTCACGTATACTATAGAATTTCAGCACTGGAAGTAAATTTCGGAACACAGCCCATATATTCTTACGTCCATGGGAATTTGTGTTTGTCCAATATGTGATGTCCAATAGCTGAATGTGTTTTCTAGAGACTTACCTTTTAGAAAGCAAGTTCCCCAGAAAATTAATTTAGAGGGTCGATTGTGGATATTGACAGTGAAATCGGAACATAGCCTAATGACTCTTGCACACAGGACGCGGTAATGCTTGCCGCGCGGCGAAAGCTAATCAATATGTTGTTTTTCCGTAAGAGCTAGAAGGTTATTACGGAAAGCAGCATATTGATTGGCTGTCGCGCGAACTTCCGCCGCGCAGCAAGCATTACCGCGTCTTATGTGCAGGAGCCATAACAATCGAGACCCTTTGTTCTGAGCTTGGTTTGAGCCTCTAGCCAAATATTGAAGGAAGGAAGGAAGGAAGGATGAGCTTGGTTTGACATTTTATATGATCTCGTAGTATTACTTATCGTGACAAAACGAAAGACTTTTAGAGAACAATTGCATCGTTGTTATGCCTGTAAGTCTTTATTTATATCATCATATTAATGCAAATTAATAACGTTTCAAGTTAAATATCATTCTCAGGGCGTTGTCTGTGTAACGTAACCAAAGCGTAATGTCAACTCTTCCTGAATTGAGAATATATTTTTATGACTATTTTTATACATAAATATCTACGTAGAAAAAATGTAATTTAATCTTATCATGTATGGATTGTTACTTTCATTCTGAATGATATGTAATACAGACTAATAATCCATTAAACTAAAAGTATGTTGTACATAGCTTATTATAGTAATGGATTAGTCATACATCTGACTTGACTGCAATCTGACTTATTTTTTTTTTATAAATTATCAAGAAACGTCCGATACTCCGTTTTATACTCCAAATGCTACTCAATTTAACATTCATCATGATACATAAAGCTGATACTTTCTGTTCCATTCAAATTTTCAGGCTTATCATTCAAGTTTCACACAGAGCCATGGCACCATTGGAAACATGGCTCTCTTGCCAATCAAGACCACATTCAGAGGTCCAGCTCCTCCTTTTAACAACAAAGATATAATTGATGAAGCATTATATTTCTTTAAAGCCAATGTATTCTTTAGGACATATGAAATTAAGGTAGAAATATATTCAGAGATTTACCATACAGTAAAGGAAACTATTACATATAGCAAATTATATTTTTGTTACAGAGTGAAGCTGATAGAGTTTTGATCTATATCACTTTATTTATTACTGAATGCCTGAAGAAATTGCAAAAATGTGCAACCCAACCACAAGCCATGAACGAAATGTTTTCTCTAGCCATTTCTAAATTTGATATCCCTGGTGATGCTGGTTTCCCATTGAATTCTGTATATGCCAAACCAAGCAGCCCTGCTGAAGCTGGTAAGTACTAAGAGTTTACATATAGAACAATTGAATAATTTATAAATATACTAAATACACACATGTTCCTGTATTATCAATTGGTGGGATCTTTGAATTTTAGATCTTATGAGACAGTATCTTCATCAGATCAGACAAGAAACAGCTGTTAGAATTGTTGAAAAAGTATATGGTGAGGATGGCAAGCCAAGCAAATGGTGGCTTTGCTTTGCAAAAAAGAAGTTTATGGATAAATCATTGTCTGGACCTGGGCAATAGCTTTTCTCATGTAAATCCGCGATGTTTTAGATATTGCATATAGATTAAGAATTTTATAATTTTAAAAAATATATCAATAAAAGCATATTGTAGTTATTGACGTGATTAATATAATTGTAAGTATAATTTACAGGATCTCATTATTTGACACAGCTATCCTTAAGTTCCCTTTTTAATTAAGTATTGACTTTATTAATTAGTTCATATATAACAAAGTTAATTAACATCTAATTAGAATGGGAAATTTAAGGATAGTTTGTACAAGAAGAGAGTGGTTTTAGTATACGTTTTGAACGAATAATTTGGCGCGTCAAACAAGATCCCTCCGTAAATTATATTATTAGTCGCACACCAATAACCGCGATATGCTCTTATTAGCCATATTCTTCAATTTCCATAGATTTGACATTTATCACAATACACATATACATGATGAAGTAACGATTCATCTTATCTTTATTTTCATTGTTTATTTATCTTGCTTTATATTGTTTAAAAATATGTTATAGAGAAATAAAGAAATTGAATTTTATACCTGATATTCGAAGCTTTCGCAGTGTGTGAATTTCATACGCGCACATGGAAAATTAACTTTTCTCATTAATTTGTATATCGTTTTATTTCTTATGAATACAAATAATATTATCGCTTTCTGCGGAGAGACAACGAATTTCGCCGCAACCATGCGGCACGACGGGAACCGCCGATTGTCTGTGAGTAACGATGTCCTTTACCTAATCCGCGCGAGCTCCTGCCGGCGGAAGTCTTGCCACGCAATTCACGATGCTTGTGAACTGCATTACATATCCAATTCATCTTTGGATCATTACGAATTGCCTGGAATATAGAGGAAAAGAGAGCGTCAGAAATAAAAGCGAAACGAATTGTCTTGATTTATTTAAGTTTTCATTCCTCAGTCATCCAAGGAAGATTAAAGAATCATTATCTTATTAGATCTCATTGGTGATATAGTGTCATCATATTACGTATTATATTTGTACCATATTATTGTATCATATTATTACATATTATATTTATATTTGTACCAAAATATTTTTTCTTTTTCATGTAATAGTTACCAAAAGTAACATATTAGTTTTATACATTACCTTGTGTGCGGGATCAACCAAAATAACTTCGTAATATTTATACGATGAATCCTGAGCCACCCAGTAGCTATTTAGTACTCGCAATCCGCCGCAACGACGGCCAACACGTTCCTGCAAAACAAATTCTTAAGTAACGAATACTAGTATATAACTACTAATAAATTGCGACTTTTTTGTTCAGGAATGTACAAAATTGATATCCCCAATTAAACGTAAGAGTGGTGCATAACTCATCATATGAATGGTCGAGATTTTTTAGGTGGTTTTAATGTTGTATTCATTACTTAATATCTTACTTCAGCAACTGATTGAAGTTTCCTGGTTGGCTTCAACTGATTCACACCATGGCTCTTAGGTTTGCCATAGGTTGCACCCTTGGGAACTGGGCGTTTGCGACCACCACGGCGCACACGGATTCTAAAGATTACGAAGCCTGCATCACATAAGTCCATATGTTTATATAATATCTTTATAATCATATTTGTTACAACAAAATAATAACTAGATAATCAGCAATACATATATGTCCTCACAAAACTGTAAGAGTGGTGCATGTAAACTCATCAGGTAAGTTAGATTTTATGAAAGAGAAAAAGGAGATCTCTACAATTACTACAAATTTGAAAAATATACATTGAAAAGCAAAAGTTTTAGCTGCACGTGTCTATGCAAAAGTATCATTACATACATGTTATATAAAAATACTTTTGTTGTAAAAACCTCAAATAATTTAAATATTTTTAAAAACAAATTTAACTTTTTTTTTAATATATTTACAATTTGATAAATATATATTTGATAATAACTTTTACCTTGTTTGGCTTTGTAACCTAAACGACGAGCCTTGTCAGGTCTAGAAGGTCTAGGAGCACGATGCATCTTTGTTAATTGACGATATTGCCAGCATCTAACACGCAATAAGAAGCGAAGCACATCGCTCTGCTTCTTGCGATACAACTCCTGCATATACTTATATGCCCCCATCGCGAATTCCTGCAGAACAAAAATAATCAACAGATTATTAAACAGTGCATTATTTGGGATGCAGGCATTATGCATCACGACACTAACTTCTTTACGCTAAAGCAAATCGCCCAGCTTTCTTAAAAGCGTACACGCGTGCAAATTACTATTCGTGGTAGAAATTTTCGAGATATTCACGCCCGCATCCAAAATTCACGAAGAAAATACGAACGATGGTTCCAGGCATGGTAAACATCTTCGAGGTTAACATTTTCATTACACCGGATATATAATCGCTCGTTATGAAAATATACGAAAAATATCGGAATACCCTGATCGAGAAAATTTAGCGTTTAATCTCCTTATGTCATGATTCGTGCAACAGTTTAAGATGTTAATGATTGAATACGATTTTCAGTAAAGTCACTCACCCCAGTCGAGCAAGATGGGAAAAAGAACGTGGCTACCGCTCGCCGATTGTGATGGCAGTCGACCACGCATAACAGTATACAAGATAGTAAATTCGACGTTCTTCTTTCCTCACATCGCTCTCAGAGACCTCTAAAACAAGCCACCTGAGTTGCATCCACAAACGTTCGTCGATGTATTAGATTCGCTTGGAAGACAGAAAAAATGTCACATTAACTATTCAATATTTAGTAAATTATTAAAAATAATACTTAATTCCTACCGATATTATACAAAAAGATTCGTCATACTTTGTGAGTTTGAATCTCAGCTAATTAGGATTTAAATCTTAGCTAAGAATGACCTGATTATTTAGTTTACTTCCTAAGGCTGTGTTCCGATATTTACTGCCAATATTGAAAATCTATAGTATACGTAACATAAATTATAGATTTTCAGTATTGGCAGTAAATATCGGAACAGAGCCCAAGTCTCTGCTATGAAGCGCTACCGTTTGCAATGAGAAATCGAAGTTGATGGATAATTTCATTTTCAAATAGTAAAATGTAATAGAAGATCAGAAAAACATTTATTTCGAATGTTGTAATTCAGTACCACTTATATGGGATAATATGAGAAAATTATTTTTCTCACACGTGTCTCTCTCTCTCTCTCCCTTTCCCTCCCTCCATCTCTCCCCCCTCTCTCTCTCTCTCTCTCTCTCTCTCTCTCTCTCTCTCTCTCTCTCTCTCTCTATATATATATATATATATATATATATATCTATCTATTTATCTATCTCTTTCTTTTTCTGTATACTAAACCTGCAATTTATTTTCCATCATTTTCCTCTCTCTCTACTGTTTCTATTTTAATCTAATTCGTTCAATCGATTTCTCGTGCTTATTAGAATGCGTTTTGTTTGTCAAAGCGCCAATTTTGTTTGTTCGAGCAGTCCTCTTCTTCCCCGCATGATCACACGCGATTCATCCCTTGAATTTCATTTCAAATAACACAATAGCCATATTCTTTTCATTTCCACGTGTTATACCCTTCTCAGGCCTTCCAAGGAATAGTCGGCACAACTATGGGTCTGTTCTTTTTCGAACAACTTCCTGAACCGGTATACACTGATGCATCAGACTAAAACAATGTATCTGTTTTATATCGCTGAACTAGTATACACTAATGAAATTTAAAAAGAAACAGGTATAAACATTTAAGACTTGGTGGAAAAAAGAGAAGAGAACTAGTGCAATCTGTAGCATAGTCAAGTTAACAATAAAAAATAAACCTTTACTTATTCGATTATCGGAAGATTCGATGCAAGAACAGATGCAAGAAAACAGATACATTGTTTTAGTCTAATGCATCAGTGTATACCAATTCAGGAAGTTGTTCGAAAAAGAACAGACCCTTTGTTGTGCTATTCCGCTTGGAAGGCCTGAGAAAGGTATAACACCTGGAAATGAAAAGAATATGGCTATTGTGTTATTTGAAATGAAATTCAAGGGATGGATCGCGTGTGATCTCGTGTCACAAAAAGAGAAGGAGACCAAAGACGTAAAATAGTCAATGCAGCTGCAAAGGGACCAAAACGCGGTTCACGCGGCGAGTTGGAGCTTTGAAACGGCGACGAGACGGCGCGGTCGCAATATCGAGCGACCCGGTGACCTCTCGGCGGAATTGATTATTTTCAACAGGAGAGAGTCACCCTGAAATATACGCGGCTACGTCGACGCGACGGGCATGACACGCTGAGCTATGTAAGCGGTAGTCCGTCATGGATAGTCGCTCGGGCAGCATAAAGGACCCAATCTATTACCCGGATAGCGCGGATAACGCGCCGGGGGTGGCTGCTGCGCTTGCGACGGGCTCCGGTGAGGCCGACAAGAGCCAACGTAGCTCGCTCGACAGCCAGCGAGAGGTCAGCCTGGAGGATGGCAACGCGCTCAAAGTGCCCCGTAAATTCATCACCAATTGGAGGCAGGCGTGCGACCGGACGCGCGACCGCACCAAGGATCTTCTCAAGAGATGGAGAACGACCGCGAGCAACGTCGAGGAACTCCGCGGTCCACCGTCTGTCGCTGTGCCGGAACTGGAGCAGCCTAGCTGGAGTGTGCATGTCTGGAGTGAGTATGCCTGAACAATCCTTCGTTGTTCGGCGAAACTCTGGCTCGATTAATTTTCTCGATTTATTATTGGAGCGAGCGAGAGATCCGCGGGGATAGAGTTCATCGGAATCGCGCGATGTTTCACCACAGAAATATAGATCAACATTAGACTTAAGAAGTTTTCATTACATTGCTGAATATGTGTATGGTAGCGATGTTAACGTGACTTTAAAATATTATATTCCAGGATATTATTCCAGAGTATTATTTTCCAGGATTTTTAACAAACCTTAAATCCGGACATTGCAAGGTTTTCTTGATTGATTCAAGTTTGTCTTGTGGTTCATTCTCCGCGACAGAGAAAATCACCGCGACATTGTATTCCCATGTAAAAAACAATTTAATTTAAAACTAAGATATCGTAGTAACATTTTAGTAATATTGACTTTTGCGTTATATGGGTTGTGTTGAATAATAAATTGTAATCGCTACTTATAGATAGACGTGCGTGTGAACAACACACAGTTGCGATTATCGATTAGTTGAATGAAACTTTTTTAACTTGAATGATTAGAGTTGAATTAAATATTGTTATCCGAATTTTATCATTTTCGCCTACGTTATTTTCTCGAATCACAAGATATTATAATGATATAACATGAATTAAATTTGACTGTACAATTAATTATTAATTATTAATTAACCGTGTGATTCGTTAGCTACCTGGGTGAGCCGCTATCCGAGCGACGACAGTTTGTGCGCTATTAATGAGTTCAGTAAAAGCGATGGCTCGCAGGTCTTAGCTCCCATACAGCGCGATAAGTTCTCACATTTTTTCACGTACCTCTTGGACCACGACAAAGACGGTTACGTCGACAGGAAGGACTTCGCGATACTCTCGGAGGTATGCACTTTTAAAAATGCGACTCTCGCAAATCCGGACATCAGGACGGAAGGATATTTTTAAGGATATTTTTCTCTTGCCCTGAAAAGCGTTTGAGAAGATTTGCCGATTGGTCGTGGAACGGTCCGGAGTACTTGAGATTGTTGGAGATCGAAAGTGGATTTGCCGGATTAATCCTGCAGGACAAAAAGATGCCTGCGGAGTCAGACAGAAAGATCGATCTCGACGACTGGTTGTCCTGGTGGGCGCAGACCGTCGCACCGCCAGACGGCGCCAGTTACAACGACATGCCGTTCTGGATCAAAGTTATGCCGCGGGTGTTCTTCCTCGCGATAAACAGCTCCGGAAGCGGTATGATCAGCAAAAAGGAACTCTCGGCCTTCTACAATTCCGTGGTTGGCTTGGACATCGACAGGATAAACAAGTGCCTGGATATCGCATATGACTCTATGACTTCGGTAAATTAATCTATATAATTCTTAAAATAATAAGTGCATTCTTAAGTAGTTGTTAATTACAATTATAACACATGTAAGCGATATTAGACTATTGATAGTTAATTTTGCTTACACTCTATTATTAACTCTCTTACAGCTTTTTATATTTTTCTTACAAATACATATTTATATATCTCGAAAAATATAAAGTTATACTTTAAATTAAATATATTAATCTCTCGTACAGCAAAACGTAAATGAATCCGTGGAATTAAATTTCATTCTTTCTAAAAAAATTCGTTTCTTTTTTCTCGAATCGTATATAAAATGTCGTCGGTTCTTTTGCGTTTCATTACTTCGTTCAAGAGATTTGCCCGACAGATTTATTAACGACAAAAAATTGCTTCCAGAATGGAGATCATCCTCTCGGCTGGGTACAGTATCAGTTAGTGTTCGCTAACTTCTTGTTTGGTCGCGGTCCCTTCGGTCCCGGGGAACACTTCCTGGGCATGACTGACTCCTGCATGATCCGAGGTAACACCATACCGTTTCCCATCGATTACTCCGCAATGAATACACCACGGGACAAGTTGGAGGTCTACAGTCCTCATTGCAAGAGCAACAGGCGAAGTGTCGTAGTCTAACGGTAAACGTTTCGTCGCGAGAGTTCCTTCAGATTAGTAACGTGCACAATCATTCCCCGAGTGCCTGATTCTGTGTGCCGTACACGTATGCCGTATTTGATAGATTCCTTTTGCTCGATTGACCGCACTTCGAGACCCACTTCGAGAACGGTCTCGAGAAGAGACACGAAGAGATTTACAACGTCCACCTTGCACGATCATTTGCAAAGTCGACGTCGCGATATTCAGACATAATTAATGGTGTGTCGCACCAATATTACATCACACTGCCAGTTACTTTGTGGGAACAGCACTCCTCAGACATATCGAAAAGTCACGTATACTTATTTCAAAGTATAAAAATCGTAGAGACTCAATGACACGAGGGCCTACTTATTTCTACCAGAAAGTCCACGGCACAAAGCGTTTGTCGGAACGCTCGTCGAACCGCGCGGATGTAGACGCGGCACTAGGTCGCTCGATGGAAAGGACGAATACTATTTCGCAACATTGTGTACTTACAAAATTTATTTCAAGCGCTTGACACTTAGTATGCTCCTCACGCGGCCGGGTTACCGGTGCGTGATTTTACGTGAGACGTGATTTCGATTTCTTCTTCTTTTGCATAATATATGAAAAATACCGATTCCGAGCGCGCGTACGAAGCGATTACTGTTGCCTACGAGTAATGCAGCCGACGAAATAACGATGACGCTCCTTCGATTATGTGCGTGTATATTACTTACATTAAATATCTATGAACAACCTCCCCACCCTCCCGATCTTACTTGTGTAATAAGGCGTATACGGAGGCACATGGATCACATACTTTCCAACATCGGCATATCGTTCCTCGTCCACGGCGCAACTGCATCGTTGCGCACGATCGACCGACCGACCGACCGACCGACCGAGAGATTCAATAAATGCACCAACAGTGATTATACGACAATCGGATATTCTAGTACTTTGGTATCTTCATGTTCTTTATATTGTCTTAGCCCAAACTGCCAGTACGTACGACTCGATCTCGCACTCGTTCGTTCCCTTTTGAATCCTGAAGAGTCCGTTCTCACCCCAACGGTGTCCCCAGGAGTTTGCCACCAACTGGAAAAAGAAAAGGAAAAACGTAGAAAAGGAAAATGTTACATCAATTAAGTTTAAAAAGCTTTTTAACCACGAACCACTCCAGTTTAATGAGACCATTAGACTTAAGAAGCTTTAAATTATGTTGCTAAAGATAGTAGCGATGTTGTAGTTGACCTTATAAAATTTTATTTTCCGGGAGTTTTAATAACGGGAGTTTTAAAGCTGAACATTAATACAAAATTTTCTTGATTAATTTAGGGCCTTACACAGAGAAAAAAATTTACTAAATTTAAAAAAATGTTTGGATAGTACTGTGAAGATATTTGTTTAAATTAAGTAATTATTTTCTAAAATTAAATAAAGAATTTTTAAATATAAATTTGTTTCTTTAATTTTAGAAAATAATTACTTAATTTAAACAAATATCTTCACAGTACTATTCAAACAAACGTTTTTTGAAATTTAGTAAATTTTTTCTCAGTGTATAGTTAAATTAATGTCGTCTCAATGTCTACCAAAATATAATCTCTTTTACCGTCTTAAGTAGTAGTATTAATGTGCTCTCCGATACAGAAAATTACTACAATTACTTGTATTCTCGTGCAAAAAGTTTAATTTACTGAAATATTATAGCAACGTTTTAGTAAGAATAACACTAATTGGTGCTATATACAGATTTGATTATGGAAAAATAAGAGGAAAGGAAAGAAAGATAATAGAAGAGATAATAAAAGAAAAGAGAAATAAAATAAGAAATAAAAATGATATCGATGAATATTAGAGAGTACATGAGTTCAGAAGACGCGTGAAGACACGCGTGAAGGATGTCTGAGAGATTAGGAGCGTTCTTAGACATTCGTATCGTACGAGGAGTTCGTATCGCGCGAGACAACAGATAATTACGCGTAATTACGCGTTTGCGTTGGCGTAATAAGATGCTTTCCTCTTTTTCTTTTTTAATTGGAGCATGCTAAAAACGTTATCATAAACATGCTGTTGCGCAAACTCACCCAATACTTGTGCGGTGGGCCGCGATAAGATGGCTCCTCACCCCATCCGATTATTCTCACCGAATGATAACCGGAATCGTGCAATTCCGCACTGCGAGAGTGCCTATACACTCCGCTCTTGTAAACAAAGAAGTCTTGGTAGACTCTCATGGTAGCTGAAATGAGTTTTCATACTTTCGTCACACTTCTCCACGGAGTTACGAGACGTAAACAATTTTTTTTTATCGAAAACACACATACATATTTGGTACTAGTTCGCCAAGTGTTCATTCTCGCGCACGTTTGTTTCAACGTAAGAAAGTAAGACACAATACACGACGAGAATATTTTCTCTCATTTGAAATTCTTTATAATTTTATCATGTTTTCGGGTAATTCAAAAATATAAATTGTCAGTAGAATTTATCTTGCTCTAAAGCCTGTTTATTAATAGTTTATTAATAGTTGTTAGTTGAATTTTTGTTTCATGTGAGATATTTTGATTTTTTACTGAGAATTCTCTCTCTCTCGATTTAAGTTTTTCAATTCCTCTCTAAAAGAAGGCATGTAAGAGATTTAATTGTAGCCGCTTTTCCGCGATGCTGATTGGTTCTCTCGCTTAGCTCACTTCATGTGGGCTGCGGCTTGCTTTGTGTCGTTTGCGCCTGTCAAATTACCAGGCAAATAGCTGTTATCGCGTTGGTTAGGTTACGAAAAAAAAATACAGAAGAGATATGTCTCTCTCTGTCTCTCCCTGTCTTTCTCTGTCTCTCCTGCCTCTCCTATCTCTCTCTGTCTCTCCTTATTTCTCCCTATCTCTCCCTATCTCTCCCTGTCTCTCCCTGTCTCTCCCTGTCTTTCCTTGTCTTTCCTTGTCTTTTCTGTCTCTCCCTGTCTCTCCCTGTCTCTCCCTATCTCTCCCTATCTCTCCCTATCTCTCCCTATCTCTCCTTGTGTCTCCCTATCCCTCCCTGTTTCTCCCTCTCTCTCTGTTTCTCCCTGTCTCTTCCTGCCTCTCCCTGTGTCTCCCCGTCTCTCCCCGTCTCTCTCTGTCTCTCCCTATCCTTCCTGTCTCTCCCTATAATTACTAATTAATTAAAGTATATTTTAATTTAATTTTTATTTGATTTTTATTTTACATTTTTTATTGTTTTTTATTAGCTACATGGCGCGCGCATGTATTGTTCTAATGAATTATATAATGTATATGGCATTGTATCTATAATCGCGATTCAACTGCAAAACTCTTATCTAACTCTGAACTTAGGATCTAAATATCTCATTTGAGAGGAATTTCAAGTAACTAGATTATTAATATGGACCTAAGGGACAAATGTTTCAGACTTTTGTCACGAGATATTTATGCTTCGATATTTCATGCGTGTTTACGCATGAGGAAGGCGTGTATCTCGGAATTTCGATTAAGAGAATTGCCGGAGTCGTAGCAGGGGCATACATACCTTGCACGGGTCCAGAAGTCAGAATCTCCTGCATAATGTCGGTCTCGTTGCCCAGACGATAGGCCGGTCCAACCTTATATAATTCTTGTCTCAGCGGATTTGGCGGCTTTCGGCAACCGGCGACCTTTAGGTTGCTTCGTTTGCGTAGTTTGCACTGATCGTTCTTCCCGGTCCAAGGATAGCACTCCTTGTCCACCAGTCTAAGACAAGAAGGATACATTAAAACCGCGCCCTCGTAAGAAATGATTCAATCTTTAGCTCTTAAAAAACTAAAAAATTACAATTATTTTTTTTAATTATGTTATTTATATTGCCATTGTACCATTTTCGACGATCTATAATTGTTTACAAGCAACATAAAATAGTAGAATCCACCTACATTCGCGCGCTAGAAAAAGAGAGAGAGAAAGAGAAAGAGAAAAAAGTATGATAGTGTAAAACTGAAAAAAAATACCCGAATTTTCTCATGAAGAGCCAAGCACGATCCAAGTATCCGCCTCTGCAGCCTTGCTGTCCTCTATTGTTACAAGAGAGCAGATGTTGCGCGCTCAGCTCCACGTCTTCGGCGCCTTTGCTCATGATCGCGAAACGGTCGGACGCGACGTCGGCCGTAGACACGGCCCAGGACGCGCCGCACCATCCTTGATCGTGAATGCCAGATATATCGCGTGGCCAGCGTGTCCTGGCGTCGAACTCCCGTGGCAACGCGTCCGGATCGTAAATACGTCGCACCGGATTCATCTTGTATACCTGCGACCAGAGGTCATTTTTCAGTTACTCGGAGGAGTCTCGTTTACTTTCGACGCGAGAGACCTCTGTTTATTTATTTGCTAATGATAGATGTAAATCGACGCATTCGCTTGTGACTCGAAAGGATCAGTTCAGGCTCCGCGGACTACCACGTCAGAAGATCTCGACTATCTTGATCGGACATTATCCACGAGCAACGCTGATCGCGCACGAGAGTGCTCTGTTATTCATAAAACCCTCGCAGCGAAGTACGGGAGAGATTATTTTAGCCGTGGAACTTTAGCCTTAGTTGCACAAGCGCAGCAATTGACCTAATCTTTCGAGGCAATTTTGCGGCTATACACATTCGCGGCGTTTTCAGAGCAAGGCTGCTTTACTCCGAACTCATCGAGCCATAATGACAGCTCCGTCCTTTTAGCGGAAAAATTTCCAACCGTCTTTCGCAATCCTCAAATTTATCTTTCCTTGAATCTTGAATAATAAGGAGAAGAAGAAAAGAAGTTTCATTGAAAAGACAAAGATGCACACACACACATACTTTCGGGAAAACCTCGCGAATATTCTTGTGATAATTTGAGCAACATTTTTTATCTTTTGACTTGAGTAAGCAACAATATGTTTGGTTAGATACGCACGTTTTCTTTTGCATATCTTTATAAAGATCCGGATATCAGGTTTAACACGTTAACTACCTTAACTTATACTGAAAGAAATTATCCGATTTGTTAAAGATTAATAAACGGATATTTCCAATTAAATTCCGATCAATTTTTATATCCAATCAAGATATCCGATTAAATATAATCAGATACTTCCAATGGCATTTCATCAGATAAACCGATAAAAAGTTATGAACCGATATTTTTCATCGGATGTTTTCTAATTGGATACAAAAATGTATCGGTAATTTTGATCGGAAATATTTGTTTATAAATTTTTTATCGGATAATTTCTTTCAATATACGAGAGATCAACGCGGCGCATATATGTGTGCGCTTTTCTCCCTGGGTCCGCATAAACGAGCTAAGTTTGCTTTTAATTCGTTAACAATTATATAAAAAATTTTAATCGATCACGTGAAATAACACAGAGTGGACTGCAAACAGCCAATAAACTGAACGTGTTAACACTCACGGACTGCGACGGATTGAGAGTGCCTAGGCGTAGCTCTACGCCGTCCCGTAGTGTCCTTCCCCAGAATTCGGAATAATTGCCCACTTGCCATCCCAACGTCGGTTCTTGCAAGCTGACCTCCTCCATTAATTCCGGCTCGATCAAGCATCGGTTCTCCTCGCAGAGCACTTCGGCGCGCTTACCGAGCGAGGAGCATTTACTGCGACACAAAATAAATATTATGCGACACATAATAAATAAGTGCAGACGATCTGCACTTGTTTCAACAGCGCAACGCGCCAGCAGAAGCGATTCAAGTTTATTACCATGTGTTGCAGTTGACTCTTAACGTCTGTCCATGATCGTAGTTCCTCCCTTGGAAGAAACATCCTGAAAGAACACACGAGGACTTGGAGAAAAAAAAACATAGCTTTGCATCATGTATTGTATTTTTATATTTTATATGTACACTTTTTCTTTTTTATTTTATTATTTTTTTCAATAAATACGCACTTCTTATCTCCTCGGGCGGCGACGTGACGTTCGGCACGATGCCTCTGCAATGCTGCCAATAATCCGGACAGCAGTCTTCTTCACGGTCCCGATTGCAAAAATCGTCGCAGTAGCACAGCGTCGTGAGGATCGGCGAGCTGCAGTCATCCTGTCGTCCTGGACAACAACTGCCCCCAGGATACCTCGAGGCGCAGTATGGCCCCGGCGGCAGCCCAGAGTAATCCGGAATGCCTCTCACGAGCAAAGGCAGGAACACACAGGCGATGAACACTAAATTCTGGCAGTGTATGGACCACATCCTGAAAGGATTGTGCATCGTGAGGAGCGCGTGATTACTGATTTTTATTTAATTTTAATTAAAATTGTTTCCTTTATCTCGTCGATTCATTGGACACTAATAACATGCCTGGACGTTACCCAGACAGCACAAGATCCAGAGTATATTCTGGGGACGTTTTCAGGACAAAGGGATGTATTCAGAATATCTTTATGATATCTTGAAAAGATCTGTGCTGTTTGGATAATAACAATGGTATTTAACTCTGGACATTTCTATCGTTTTGGTCTTTTTAAATATGAACATTTAAACTGTCAATGAGTGTGTGTGTGTGTGTGTGTAAAATATACATGTATATAAATTGTGCAGCATGTCTGCATGATTTTTGAAACGTTTTCGACAGTTTAAAGAGAAAGTTGTAAGGTGAACCTACATTTGTGTTACATGTAAGTTACCATTTGTAATAAAAAAAATTAAAAATTTTTTTATAAAAATCAATACTTGAATATTTTAAATGGCATCGTGCAATTTTTTTTTTTATAATACTGTAAGGGATTTTAATACAAATTCAGCACACTATCAGAGATGTCACTTTTATTGATGTTCAATATTAAATATCCGGAATTATTTTACATAGCAGTATTTATAAGCTCTGACTAGAAATATAAACATAAACAATTGAAAGTTGTCTAAACTTAGTGTTTTGATCTTCATGTTTTTGTTTACGAGGCATTCTTGTCATCGTTTTCCGCTATTTTGCTGTCATAATGTGTCTCAACTTCATCGTGCAATACATGAATGTGCATTTCGGCTTTTCTGCGCGGGGATGTATTTCGGTAGAAATTCAGTTAAATTTCGCTTGCTCGTTTCGGTACTTGTATCAATCTAATGAAACATTGAGTCGCACCGAGTTGGCGCGTCGCGTAACCCGTCCAGGTGTGCGCAGCTGGTATGTGGGATTCGGTAACAGCTGGCAATTGACAATAATAACGTTGCCAAGTTGACGACGCTTTGCGGACCGGCGAGACGCGTCATCCTGTCTGCTTTGGAACGACTTCAAGGCATTGGCCGTTTAAATGTCGCGATTTGTCACTCAGCATTCTAAAGAAGATGATGGAAGTCTTCTCGGGACTTGTGCAACGTCCTCACGGTTTCACCGAGCGGACAATGTTTGATTCATCTTGAACTTCTCGTTCTTTTGTGTCGCGACGCGTATATTTACACGAGACTCTTCGTCCGAGTCGTGTATTTTTACAAGATTTTACTATGCTCGAGATATGTCTCTTTTCCTCAAACGTTTCAAACATACCTGAAATACCAACATGTCCCCTTCCCCACCTTCTTACGCTGAAGTGACTTAAAATTTACAAAAAGAGTTTCGACAGTTGAAGGATCTCGTTTAGCCGGACTAACCGGAACTTCGACGACGACGTTTTGCGTTTTGCCTGCTCTCGACGCGCTTAACATCTGCCACCCGTATGAACGGTCCACGGATCGTCTATCACGGATCACGTAACTCTGAAACGAGTGTCACCCGAATCGGCTGCATTATAATATTGATGGAATTTACCAGACTGGAACGAGGATCGTGATTTCAGCTTCCTGACCTCGGGCAGGCCGCGTGCTTGCGTAACGATACCGATTTTCCAGCCGATGGTACTTCATTAAATCGCGACACGTACGCACAATTCGCTAAATCGGAATACATAGGTAAGTACGGAAGAATTCTGTCTCTTAAAAACGAACTTTGTTTTCTTGAAAGAAAATGGACGCGATATTTACTCATTGATAAGTAGTGTCAGATAAGTGTCAGATAAATCTTTTCATGATATTCAATGACAAAGTTAATTGAGAGATCGAAAAATTATTAAGGGATTATGCGTTGGTTTGTGCTACGCTTTATTAATTATATATAAGTTTATTTGTTTATTACATATAAATTATATATAAATTAAAATAATTAAACACGACATAGTATTAGGAAGATGTTGCAAAAATACCTCTGTCCTCTTGGAGATCTTCTTCAGCGTAGGAACATAAGCGCTGACTCGCAAAATCGTAATCGCTATCGCAGATAGCACGAAAATAATACGGACGTATTATTAAGTACGAAAGTCGAAAGCGTCAGTTCCGTAGAATAAACAATAATGTGAAATTTTAATTGATACAATCACGAAGAGCCTTATCTGATGTTTTTGCTTATTAATGAGCAAATGTCACGTTTTGTGTCGTCTATTTTGTTTTTCAAAAGAAAGGAAATTCCAGCAAGTAAAAGCTGCAGTAATTAATAAGTAAGGTTCAAGTAACTTGATTCTTGGAGAAAGCCACGTAACGTCTTATTAAAAATATCGGAAAATTCTCAGAAGTCAATTTCCGCCGAGGTAAAATGGACTCGAGGTTCAATCGAGGCGTCACGGGGGCGAGGGTGGGAATTGGAACGTGCGGAGTATTTTTAAACGCATCAAACGTGAAATTCTTTCTGCCTGACAACAACGCCAGGCACAACTTCGCATCACGTACTTCTTTATCCATGCTTCTGAGAAGTTGCATCGGCAGCTGTTTCTAAAGGCGAGACGAGCGGACAAAGGATCGCTATGCTGTCCCCGATCGCGGGCTTTACGCGGGCACGAGTCTGACGCGTTCATTGAGGAGCGAGCAATTAATGCAAATATTCCGCACGGGAATGTGTAAGTGGGTCGCTCTCGTTTGACCCGTCTTCCCTGTGACGTCACGAGGAGGTTTCCTCGTCGTAGTCGTCGTCGTTGTCGTGTTGTCAATGTCTCGTTCCGTTCCTCGCCACGATAAACGGTATGACACGGCCACAGATTCAAGGAGAAATTACGGGAACGACTGAGACCCCACAACGAAATTTCCCCTGGCGTCGTCCGGAGACCCTTCTCACAAAAAAAGTAAATGACCTTCATCAGCGCAACGGAATGCGAAAGCAGACGGAAGATCGTAAAACTCAACTTACGCACCCGCAAGCTGAACAAGAGAAGAAGACTTGATACGGGCGCAACGTCTCGTCTGCGTCCGCGGGATCGACGACAACTGACCCGTGACATCAGCGTCGCAACCCCACAACAAGGGCGGACTTCGGGGCTTTCTCCCTAAGTGAGACGCGCCGAGAGATGTTGATTGAAAACTGCGACCTCTAAATTAACCGGCGACAGCAGCGAGATTAATTTGGGCTGGCTTGAATTACTGACATTCTTATTCACCTCGGGATCATTTTAGGGAACCCGATGGTGACTTTCTTCAAATTCTGGTTAATCTCTGATTAATTGGCTGGCAGAATCGCCAATTCCGATGTAATTTGTGTGTCGCCTGACAATGACCAGAAATTGAATAATCCTATCCCAATAAACATCAAGTGACGGTAAGGTTAATGTTACAATTTCTCGTTCAACAATGTGAATGTTATGTACAACATACATTATACGACACTTACATTGTTGAGTGGAAAATTATGATAATGATGTAATGTTACTCGTGTTTACGGGGTAGCGATTTTGATCCTTCGCGTACGATTATATGCTTTAAGACACACAGTACAATCTGAGTCTGTCAGGCAACTTCAGATCACTATAATATTGCTGAAAAAATCAATATTTCTCAACAAATCTTTTCCAGAGCTATAGCGCAGCCTCGGTTACAGGACAGCAATAAAATCAAAGTCTGCAAGCAGATTTGCGCTATTTGGAAGTTTCCTGGTCTCTTTATGCAAGTTGAGGAGCGATCGGATATTCGTCCGCGATGAAGTCACGCTCCTTCGCAGCGACGCGTTTCAAAAGAATAATTTAGTTTAATTCAGTCCCGACGCGCTTATTGAGACGCAAATTTCTCGCAGGTTGCGACGTGTCGCTCGCGCTGAAGAGCGAATTCGGCCGACCGTGTCGTCCGAACGTCGTCGTGAGGCCAGAACTGGCCTCACTTGCGTCTCGATCGTTATTACGATCGATAATAAGACGCAAAGTGCGACATGAACAACCTTCTGTCCGTTTCGTATGATCTAACTCTCATGGGAATGGTTTTTGGACCTGGTCCAAAGTTGCATCATTACTCAAGCTCGCTATGTTTCGCGATAATCGGTCACCGAACGTGTTAGGCAACTAACACCGTGTGCGGCATCGTGATCACGTTTTTATGTGACGTATTAACACGTCGTATTGATACGACAAGACGCTGAACACACTTTAACAGCCCGCTATCTTTGTTTTGTCGTAATTGGACGAACAACGAGCCGCTCCGTGTTTTTGTATGCCATTGTGACACACAAGACTGGCGACAGAGGCGAATTCGGCAGTCACTTCTCACCATTCTGTGACAGCGCGGGTCATTACGATCTTGTTTACGGTCGAATAACGCAAAATTGGTCGGGGGACACCGATGTGCGAGGAGGGCGCGAGAACAAACTCGATGGAACGTTAATGCTATTTAATACAAGTGGAGTTGACACTGATGGAGGAGACAGTTTCATTTAACCGGTCGCTCGAGAAACTGGCGCAACTCCAGAGATATTTCTAAGGTTACCAAGGTTAAGACACGACTGTTTTAGGGCTTCCGAACTAACAAGCTCGCTTGATAGCCAGCCTTGAAAATAGAGTCAATATGAAATCCCTCCCTCGTGTAAGATCACAGATTGTGTATTTTTAGCTGTCCTTCCCTCTCTCTTTTCCTCACTCGTCCACTCTCTTTTATCTTTCTCGTGGCGTCCCTTCATTGGTCCCTTCGTTGTAATGATCGGAATCCTCCTGCGTCTATTATCGCGGAGTGATTAATTAATCGAATGATCAATTGATTCGATCGCGGTTTGCAGTAAACGATCGTGACTTTCTATTCGGTAGTGCGCCACTTGCAAGACGCCAGTGTATTTTCCAACCGATTAATCGTGCCTATCGCGTGCTATTTTTAGGATAAAAGTTTCGAGAAGACAGATTGCAAAATCAACGCAGTCTCGAGGATGCTGCGACAGGCAGCAAGATGCGGATGTCGTTTTATATTCGGCCGATCGAGAGATCT